TGTTATTAATCTACTACTATCATATTTTTAGAAATCTCAATGGAACAAGCAATTTTACTAAAAGCATGGCTTGTTGCTAATGTAACTTTATTGTTTAAGAAAGGATCCAGGACTGACCCAACAAACTACAGACGAATATCAATTACTTTTGGACCTTTTGGAAAAAATGGTTAAAGATAAGGTTATGCATCACTTAGTATCTAACGACCTTCTCTTCAAATGTCAACATGGATTTGTCAGCAAAAAATTCTGCATTACAAATTTACTTGAAATTATGGATTTTTTGACCTACACTGCCTCACAAAGTTAGCTGTTGATGCCCTATTTCTTGATTTTGCAAAAGCATTTGAAAAGTTCCTCACAAAAGGTTACTAATAAAACTTGAATCGTGTGGGATTAAAAACAATGTCTTAAATTGAATTAATACCTTTCTTTCCAATAGCACACAACGCGTCATCATCGGAAATGTTGCATCCGATTGGAAACAGGTTACTAGTGGCATTCCTCAGGGCTTAGTTCTTGGTCCAACCCTATTTATAGCCTATATTAATGATTTACCAGAACACATTAGCAGTAAAAATAATTGTAAAATGTATGCAGATGACACAAAGATCCTCAGTGTAATTAACACTTTAGAAAACAAACATTGTCTGCAAGCTGATATTGATAACATTGTCAATTGGACCCAAATATGGCTCATGCAACTTAACATCAAAAAATGAAAAGTTAGACATCAACCAATCCAGATCTATCCCTCGCATCTATTTTATCAATGATAACAATTCCAATAGTGGAGTCAAAAGAATTCCATTAGATACAACAACATTGAAAAAAGACCTTGGTGTTCAACTCTCTGATGAGTTAAAGTACAATAATCAAGCTTTCACTGCTGCTGCTAAGGCAAATAAAACCTTGAGCATATTAAAGCATACCATTGTTAGCGAAGATATAGCAGTCTGGAAAAATTCTATATACAACTAACATGCATCCACATCTAGAATATGCTGTGACAGCATGGTGCCCTCATTTAAAAAAAGACATTACTGAAAAACACAACATTGTGCAACAAAAATACCTCATGAATTAAAGCATCTTGATTACAAGACAAGATTTGCTAAACTTGGATTTACTTCACTAAATGACAGAAGAAAACTTTTTTTTTTTTTTGGACTTTATCCAAAAATTCAAAATTGAAACAAAAACTGATTTAATCAACTGGCATACTGACCCAGGCCTCAGCAGGAAGCAAGAGCTTTAGCTCTTGCTCTCTTCCATTCTCCCCTATAGTGGTTTACAGAAGCATTTTAGGCTCTTGCAAAAGTATAATTTTTTCATAAATAAAAACCACTTTCTTTCCTTTCTCTTTATTTAGATATAATTTAGAAAAGTTAAAAACTCTTAGTGCTAACTACATCAAATAAGAAAAAAAACAAAGTTCCATTTTCAGATTTTTTTTTTTCTATTATAAAATTTGATTAATAAATAGCTAGACCTAGAAAACCTTAAAAAAAAACTTGTCTAAGGAATTTTTTCATGGTACAATAAACGACACTTGTTTTGTATATATTCTGTTAATATTAACATTACAAGGATATGCTTGTAACAAGAGTAAAATTAAATTTTGTATTTAATAAGCAATTTATCTAATAAATAAACAAATAAACTTGGCCAATAACCGAAAGCTCTTGTAAAAAGCTGTTTAGAGGAGCAGCTCTCATTGCTCGCCATGTTTATTTTATGAGATCTTTTCTCTGCTCCCGCACTCATTTATTCTCCCCAAGGCCTGCTGACCCAATATTCATTTCTTCCATCTATGGCCATTGCAAACGCTTTTCATTGGGAAATTAATAGCAATTGCCTAGTTTAATTTAACTTTTTTAATAATTGGATTGCGGATACTTGGAATGCTTTTACCAGACAATGTTGCCAATGCCTACTATCAACATTTTTATCATTTTGAACCACCCTTTATATATATATATATATATATATATATATATATATATATATATATATATATATATATATATATATATATATATATATATATATATATATAGCCCTCACAAATAAGGTTAGCATTAGACAACGCTGACCTAAATGCAGATCTAACTGCCAAAAAGTGTCCGTTTAATATATAATTTTTGTTTAAAAAAAAAAAGCTTATTCTTTAAACTAATAGAAAAATTACCATGTATATATATCTTCGAATATTTTAAATGCAAACGTTTAATTTCATTTAAAGTTGGTCTCTGTGTTGGTAGTGATATTTTACACAGACGCTGATCGCCTAATCAAATAAAAAAAGTTTTGCATATCGTGCTCTTAGAACATCTTATTCAAATGTGACAACAAACCTCAAACAAACCTTACTTTTAGAAATATTTGTTTTTTTCCCAAATAAAGTTCCCATTCCGTATGTGGAGCATTTATAAAATATCCTATTTGATGAATTGATATGATCTGACCAAGTCAACAACAACTCTTGTATTTCCTAGTCAAAACAGAACATGAAAAAGATTACAAGAGGAAATACTTTATAAAAAAACTTTTTGAAATTTAAAAAAAAAAAATTTAATTCTAAACATTATATTTAATTGTTTGAAAAAAAGATGGTTATATCATATTGGTTTATAAAAATATATAAGCATAAAGTTGTTTGCAAATAACTTTTTTTATATCTTTTTCACATCAATAATAAAGACCATAATTCAACTGAAATCAGTTTAAACTTTAGTATAACATTTTAATCATAATCTAATTGAAAACTCCAGGTGTTATCAAAACATCTTTGTGCGAAAGAATAAAAAGAATATTTGTGAACACTAAAAGCCCGCCAAATTAACGAACTAATTCTATTAGTTCAAAAAATACGCTGACAAAGCGAAATAAAGTTCTAGAGTATTCTGTTGAAATGTTTAAGAAATTGTATTATTCAAGATTTGTTACATTTTGAGATTTCTAGCATAAATTGTTTTAAGAATATATATTATTTGTTTACAAAAATAAATGTTTTAAATATATATTAAATTGTCAAAATTTTAAAAGTTTATTATAAATTATAGATTTTATTAGTATATTCTTATTTTTTATTTAAAAAGTATGTATTCTTTATGTAAATGTAATTTTGTGTATCTGTTTTTTATTGTAATGTATCTTTTTAAGCAATTTTTATGATCTAAACAAAGACTTACATTGCGTTTTCAATGAAGTTATAATCGTTAAAGTTAATAAAACTAATTATTTAACAAACATATAAGAAGTTTCTGTATACTAAACACAAACAACGCATACAAAGAAACTCGCGGATGAACAAGCACTGCGCCTGAGGTCACGACAGAACACAAATATATATAGCAAATAATTAGATATAAAGAAAAGTTTCTAGATATTGGTTTACTAACTTTAATTATTTTTGCTTAAGTTGCCATTCTTAAAACTCGTTATACTTTTTTCTGCTTTAAATACTAATCAAAATTAAAAAGCCCACTCACTAAACATCATCAGCGATATTGTGAAGCAGTTTCACTTCCTCGTCATTAAGTATTTTTAACCTTTTTAGTTGATTTCTATCTTGTTAATTTAATTTCTATAGTAATTCAATGATTTAATTATTTCATTTGTTAATCTTACTAAGAAGAATTGCTTCAAATATGTTAAACTTTTCAAACTATGCGAAACATAAAATAAGTATTAAAAAAATTAACTTTTTTATTTATTAAATAATTTAGCTTAAATAAAACTAAAACTTGCAAACTTTGTTAAATAAAGAATATTTGTTTCTTTTTAAACAAGTTGTTACTTTAAATAAAAAACATTGCTTAATTTTATAAAAAAAATTATAAAAAAGCGATGTTTCGAAAATATTTGTTCTAAACGTAATTTATTTAGCTTTAAGTTTTTTCGCGTTTAAAGATATTTTATTCTGCCTATTTTTTTTGTAATTGTCTCTCATCGCTCCAATTAATCTAAAGCGCTTTTTCTTTTTGCTTTTAAAATGTTCTCAAAACGACTAAAAAATCTGGCCAGCTTTTCACAACTAAATATTATTTACATGGTCAGCAATCGAGAGCAATCACTCCCGCTTCCGGACCAAGCCTGATTAAGTAATCATTAAGTTGTTAACATTAATCAAAATTTAAGTTTCAAAAATCAACAAAAATAAAAATACTTTTTTAAGAGCTGCTTCATTGTATCTTCTTAATGAAGATCCTGCAGATCTAAAATAAAAGAGCTGCTTCATTATAACTTCTTAATGAAGATTCATTGAAGCATGATATACCAAGTTTGAGATCTACCACTTGAATTAAATTTTAAATAAATTAATGAATTTAATGATCCAATTTTATTTTAAAACAAAAAGCATTTTTTAAATCTATATTTTAAAGTGTAAATTTTGTAAATTTTTTTTATCAAAGTATAAATCTCACTTCTATATTTCAATAAAATTAAAAGAATTTTAAAATAATGACAAAAATACTTTGGAGCATTTCCACCTTGATTATCACAAACACTTTGAGCTGTACCACTTTTTGCGCGAATAACATATCGATGAAATGTCTTGTGAGCAACTGTTTCATTTCTAAAATAAACAATAAAACTAAGTAATCAAAAAAACCAAGAAATAAAAATCTGTTAAGAAATTTTAAAAAATTGTGTCTAGTATTATGTGTCTATAATTATATTAAATAAACAAGTCATGAAGATTAAAAATAAATTAATATAAAATAAATTATTTTTCAATCAATATATAAGAGTTATAAGCACTGATGGATGTAGTGTAATCATATGTGTAAATCATAAAGTGTTTGTAGTGTAATCATATGTGCAAAACATCTGCAAGTATAATCTGTAAGTGTTTGTAGTGTAATCACATGTGCAAAACATCTGTAAGTGTAATAAAGTATTTGTAATCATATATGCAAAGCAAAAGTATAATAGCTTATTAAAATTCATTTTTTCATTTTCCAAAAGACAACATATATATATATATATATATATATATATATATATATATATATATATATATATATATATATATATATATATATATATATATATATATATATATATATATATATATATATATATATATATATATATATATATATATTAGGGTGATTGAATTGCTATTTTCTGTGATGTTGAGGGAGGGTCAAATGTAAACCCGTATTGCAAAAATTTGAAAAAATGTTTCTATACTACATATACTTTACATTTAAAACATATTTTTCATTGGCCTATAAAATATAAAATCTAACAGGGAACAAATGATCTCAAGGAGAAAAGAGATGGATGAATGATCTGTGCTATTTTGTAGAAATGTTTACTGATGATATTACAATGTGGTGCTCATAATGGTGATGCTAAGTTAGCCAAAAGAAACATTAAATAAAAACAAACTATCAACCCATAATATGAGGTAATAATCATGATTTCAAACTGTTTTCAAAACTATAACAGAATTAACAAAAATAAATCTGGTACAAATTTATAAATTACATGGGAAAAAAAGAACTGATATTTTATAAATGCTCCACATACGGAATGGGAACTCTATTTGGGAAATAATGGATCAAATGCTGAAGACATAGAATGTGTAAAAGAAAGAAAATATGATCAATTGAATGAAGTTTTTGACACCACAAAAAAAGATGGTGAATGGCTCTGCAGTGAGGAGACTATAGAGACTGTATTATCTTCAGTTTGAAACTAAAGGACAAGTTGGGTGAAAAACTAAGAAAGCTGCTACTTCAAAAACTATTCATCCATCATAAAGAAGAAAAATGTCCTTGAAGTCTACTTCAACAATAGTAATAACAACAATAAGTAACAACAGTAAGTAACAACAGTAAGTAACAACATTAAGTAAAAACAGTAAGCAACAACAACAATAGCAACAATGCCAACTTCCGAATCTGAGTCTAAGGTAGAATATCAAGAATCTGAAGATTCAGAAGAACACAAGTACTAGCAAGTACCAGCAAGTAGTACAGCACAATCAAAACTGCAATCAAATTAATAATATCTTCAAAGTTATCAACTAGCAAAGCAGCAACCACTTGATGACAGTTATCTCAAAATGGGATGACATTCAGGCAATTTCACAGTCTGATATATTCAGATATATACCAGACTGTGACAATTATTAAAGAATATGTATAACTTAAAGAAGAAATGAAGAAAACACTACATTTAGAAAACAAGAATATCAAGTGTTAATGTTGAAGGAAAAAGGAAAATCAAGGTACAAGCACTAGATCTAACAGACAAAAAAGCAATACATTTGTAGATTCATCTGTTACAGATGGACGGATCATTGGTTAACTGGCCAAATTTACAATAGAGATGATTATAAAACCATAGAGAATGGAAATTCCCAGAACAAATCAGTATGCAGAAAGAGCAATCAAGTGTCTTCAAGATCTTTTTGACATTTGTAAAAAAAAAAAAAAAAGAACCTCCAGCTTAGATTCATTCTGTCTAACAAAGCATAAGAGTTGTATATTATGCTTTAATTAAGCTGAACACTACAAAACATTTTGTCAATATATACAGTAGCTTTTCATACCAGTAGAACTTTTATTTAAGTTTGTAATTTTATATTTACTTGTAAGTTAGAACGTTACAATGTAACAAACTGTTAAATGCTTAAAAACTGCATAACAACTCTCCAATTAAAAAATTTAGAAAAAATAACAATCATAAAAATTGTTTGAAATTTTATCCATACGCATATATGGTTAATTCGATTTTTGAGTTTGTGGGTGATTTTTTTAAACAAGAAAATCAAATTAATGTTTTTTTCATTATGTCTGTACAAATATTCATTGATTTATGACTCAATAACATGGGGTCACAAAAAAGTCATAAACCTAATGAACAAACGCACAAAAAAATAAACATACATTGGGGCAAAAATAACAAAAAATGCAAAGTACCAAGTATATATAAACATTAGACTCTTTCGGTGATTTTCTTTGTGATGGCCACTGGGTAGAAATCTTTCGTCTTCCTGTTGAAAAATATGCTTTTTTTTTTTTTTTTTTTTTTAACATCTTCACTTTCAACAAGGCTGCAAGCAACCACTATAAGAGTTGGAAGTTACTGGAAGAGAAAAGACTAAATCTGTAGAGCAAGATAACGATTGACTGATGACTTAAATGATTGCAAATTATATGAATCAGGGAAGCAAGATGAAGGAAGCAAATTCCAAAGAACTGATGTTCGAGGAAAAAAACTAGAAGAATAAGGAATTAGGAACAGTCACAGAAAAAGGATGAGACTTAATTGAATGGCGAGTAACACCAGAATGAATTTTAGTAGATGGCACAAGGGACGCTAGCTCTTTAGAGCAGTGCCCATTATAGTATTTGTAGAAAAGAGAAAGAGAAGCAACATCACGACGATGTGACAAAGGTTGGAGATTGGCTGCCAGAGCAGGTCCAACTATGTTTACAATGCGTTTTTGCACCTTGTCTAAAAGAGAAAGAGCATCATTAGAAGATCCGCCCCAGATGTGGCAACAGTATTCCATACAGGGACGGATTTGAGATTTATAGAGATAGAGAATAAAATCTGGAGTAAGAAAGTGTCAAGCTCGATAAAGAGATGCAACCTTAGCGGATGCTAATTTTGCAATGGATTTGATATACGGTTTAAAAGAAAGATCAGAAGTAAGAGTTAATCCTAGAAGATGAATGGTAGATGACTCATCTAGTACATTACCATTCATAAATATAGGAAGATCTAAATTATTACCATAACGATTGGCCGAATAAAATTGAGTTTTATCTGAATTAAAGTTCACCAGCCACTGTGAGCCCCATGCTGTAGCAGAAGTAAGATCCTTTTCAAGCTCAGATACCCCCTCCAGGCAATCAGAGAGTGTAGGCTTCTTATCATGACAAGAGTAAATGGTAGTGTCGTCAGCGAATAATGCCACCTTAGATGTGAGAATATCTGGAAGATCGTTAATGTAAATTAAAAAGAGTATAGGGCCAAGGATTGAACCTTGAGGAACCCCTGAAGTTACAGGATGTGATGAAGAGTGTTGTCCATCGAGGACAACTTTTGTACTACGATTGGAAAGAAAGAACTCAATAATCTTAAAGATGTTACCAGATACACCATAAGAAGAAAGCTTATGGAGAAGAAAGCTTATGGAGAAGACCAGCATGCCAAACTTTATCAAAAGCTTTAGAAATGTCAAGTGCGATAGCCTTAACCTCTCCACCTTTATCTAATGCACGGTAAAACCTATCGGTTATTACTGTTAGCAAATCAGCTGTAGAACGAGAAGATCGAAATCCATATTGATGATCAGAAAGTAAATTATTTGATTCAAGATGAGAGATTAAGTGTTTGTTGATTAAAGATTCAAAAACCTTGCTTATGACAGGAAGAAGACTAATGGGACGGTAGTTAGATGAATCAGATCGCTCTCCGGAACTTTTAAAAATAGGGATAACAGATGCTGCTTTCCAGCATGATGGAAAACAAGACTGATAAGCACTTGTTAAATAGTTTTGAAAGTATGGATGAAAGCTCCGGAGAACACTTCTGCAAGACTACAACAGGAATGTTGTCAGGACCACAAGCTGTTAAAGAGTCTAAGCAGGAAATTACTTTTGATACAGAAGCTGAAGTGATGCTTATGTCAAGCAAGGGATCGACCTGTTTGACGGCTATGTCAGGTAGAACGCAACTAGTGGAATCAAGAGATGATATTGATGAAAAGTTCTTAGCAAACAATTTAGCTTTGTCTTTAGGTGAGGTGACAAAGTCTGAACCATACAAGAGAGAATGAATAACAGATTTGCCCTTATTATTGATACTGTTAAAGATTCTCCAGAAGTCTCGAGAGCCTAATTTTTGTGATGAGATACGAGATTTTATGACCTGAGAATAGCGAGCTTTGGCGTCAGACAAAACCTTTTTACAATGGTTTCTGGCGATAGTGAACAGATGTCTGTTTTCTGGAGAATTGTTTTGCTGATAGATATGAAAGTAACGGTTTCGATTAGAAATTGCTGCAGCGCAATGTGAGGAAAACCAAGGAGAAGAGTGAGGCTTGACCTGGAATCGTCGAGAGGGAATAAAAGATTCCATGCCAGCCTGAATCCACGAAGTTATGTAAGAAGCACATTTGTCAGCAGGAAGACGAAAGATTTCTACCTAAGGGCCATCACGAAGAAAATCACGGAAAGAGTCCCAGTCAGCTTTAAGGTAGTTGTATGTGGTACGATGATAGGGGGATTCTGATGAAGTAGAAGAATTTGATAATAGTTTTAGAGAGATCAAACCGTGATCAGAAGCACCTAAGGGTGAATGTGGAGAAATTGAGCACTGACTAGGATTCAAAACAAGACATAAGTCGAGGAGAGAAGGTAAATGATTAGGGTTGTCTGGAAAACGAGTTGCAAAGTTGACTATTTGAGTTAGAGATTGAGAAAGGCAAAAGTTGAGGGCCTTAACGCCAGCAGAGTCACTGACACTAGAGCCAAGCCAATCGGTGTGATGGGCATTAAAGTCACCAACAACAACAATATTGGCCGATGGATAAAGAGAGAGGGCTTGGTCAAATTGATTAGAAATAACATCGAGAATAGTGCAATCTTGGGATGAAGGAGAGAGATATAAAACAAAGAGAAAGGCGATAGAGTGAAGTGGTGCTAAACGAAAGCACATAAAGAATAGTCTGTAGATTCAAACCTAGTTTCACGACAAATGGGTGAGTTCTTACGAATGTAGATGCCCAGGCCAAGCATGTGATTATTGGAGTCTTTACGAATTAAAGGAAGATAACCATCAACACTAAGATCACAAGATGGGACAGCCGAACTCAAATTAGTCTCACAAAGAGCAAGTAGGTCTGGTGAACTTTGCAAGAGATAAGACTCAACAGAAAAAAAAGTTACTTCGAAGACCATGAATATTAGTAAATGATAGGTTTAGAGAACTTGGTGATGACAATGGTTTTTTGTGTTTTTTAGTTTTAGGTACTTTAGTCATTTTAAATTTATAAGAACTTGACTCAAGTATAGATAGTACTCAGTACACTATTTAACAACTAAGCAATAGCCTCATTACTATTAATAAACCCTAAGCCGTAACAAAGGGCTCCAAATGTGGCCTCTACAATGCACACCAAAAGTACGAACAGGGACACCATCCATGCGCAACATGGCACTGTTAGTACTCTGATATTTTTCGGCTGTTGATGGAATCAGCCTCTCTGAGAGCTACCACAGAATTCGGGAAACCTGACTACCAGCCGGCCTCAGAACCATAAAACTGAGTTTTAGAGCTGTACCCTCATTAGGAGATAATAGAATGAGTTGCCCAGTCATAAAAATAGAGACACAAGCAATACCCACGCATTGAGTCAAGAAGATCCAGCGTTCAACATCCTAAACTGGAAACAATGTATTAAAAATACATCTGCGCCAGCCTAATAGATGAAGAAGGGGTGCGAGACTGGTCAACAGATAAAATCTGTTTACCCCTTAATTCTTTGCCTAGGAGGTCTTCTACAAGACAGTAGCCGGATGCATTTAACATCTGCTCAAGATGAGTATTTTTATTGAGACACCATCTCTAGCCTTTACTCAACCAAGAGCCCCAAGGCAGGGAGTGTTTTAACTCGGAGTTAATTTCTCCTAGCCTTTGCCTAAAAAAGCGTATCCTAAAAGGCAGGACATGAAGCAGGTTGTACTGGGTTACATGTTACCAGTAGCAGGAAAACCTGACCTGACACAAAAAATTTTTTTGACCTGACCTGACACAAAAAATTTGAAAAGTAAAAAAATAACAACATAACTTCTTACATAACTTCTTACATAAGCTTACATAAGCTTTTTACATAACTTCATGGATTCTGGCTGGCATGGAATCCTTTATTCCCTCTCAACGATTCCAGGTCAAGCCTCACTCTTCTCCATGGTTTTCTTCACATTGTGTTACCGTCCCATTAGTCTTCTTCCTATCATAAGCAAGGTTTTTGAATCTTTAATTAACAAACACTTAATCTCTCATCTCGAATCTCATAACCTACTTTATGATCATCAATATAGATTTTGATCTTCTCGTTCTATGGCTGATTTGCTATCAGTAATAAATTATAGGTTTTATCGTGCATTAGATAAAGGTGGAGAGGTTAAGGCCATCGCTCTTGACATTTCTAAAGCGTTTGATAAAGTTTGGCATGCTGGTCTTCTCCATAAGCTTTCTTCTTATGGTGTATCTAGAAACATCTTTAAGATTATTGAATCCTACCTTTTCAATCGCAGTATAAAAGTTGTCTTCGATGGACAGCACTCTTCTTCTTATTCTGTAACCTTAGGGGTTCCTCAAGATTCAATCCTTGGCCCTATACTTTTTTTAATTTACATTAACAATCTTCCAGATATTCTCACATCTAAGGTGGCATTGTTCACTGATGATACTACCATTTATTCTTGTCACGATAAGAAGCCAACTCCCTCTGATTGCTTGCAGGGGGCATTTGAGCTTGAAAAGGATCTCACTTTTGCTACAGCATGGGGCTCACAGTGGCTGGTGAACTTTAATTCAGATAAAACTCAATTTTTTTCAGCCAACCTTTAACCTCTGTCACATCGTCGTAATGTTGCTTCTCTTTCTCTTTTCTACAAATACTATAATGGGCACTGCTCTATAGAGCTAGCGTCTCTTGTGCCATCTACTAAAATTCATTCTCCTGTTACTTGTCATTCAATTAAGTCTCATCCTTTTTCTGTTACTGTTCCTAAGTGCTCCAAAAACTCTTATTCATCTAGTTTTTTTCCTCGAACATCAGTTCTTTGGAATTTGCTTCCTTCATCTTGCTTTCCTGATTCATATAATTTGCAATCTTTTAAGTCGTCTGTCAATCGTTATCTTGCTCTAAAATCTTCATCTTTTCTCTTCCAGTAACTTCCAACACTAATTAGTGGTTGCCTGCAGCCTTGTTGGAAGCGAAGATGTTTAGAAAAAAAAAAAAAAAAAACATATATATAAATACATAAAAACTATTTTAAAAAATATATCAGTGTTGTAAGATTCAATTAGAATTAAGTAATGGACTGAAGTAGGTGAAAACCCATCCTCAGGGTCACAATCAATTCCAAATAATGACGAATCTATTGAAACCACACAATACAACAGTTTCCACAACACCTTCAATAATACAAATGTATGTAATAGCAACAATAAAGGCAATAGTAGCAATAATAAAGATGAAAATTCATAGATGAATAAACAAGGGCACCTTATTATATTTGATAAATACAGACTTAACTATATTGGTACAAGCTATTTCTATATTTGTAAACCAAAAGTAAATACGAAAATCAATGAAAACTAAATTAACAGAGAACTATAAATAGTTTAAAAAAATGAACAAAAATAGCTGTAAAACTAATAACCTTAGCTGACAAACAAAAAAAGAAAAAACAGATAAAACAAAATTGTTGTCAAGAAAAACAATAAGATTGTTAATCACAATTTTACAATAAAAAAATGACAAATAATGAAAATATCATAGAAACAAAAAATCTTAGCAATCTGATTGACTAGAAATATGTTCATTAAACAAACAGCGCTATTTGTTGAATAAATAGTATTATTCCCTGAGGCTGAGGGCCCATTACAATTAAGGAAACTACTAATTTTTTTAAAATTATTTTTATAATCCTCTTTTAAATCTTGAACACTGAGACACAATCTTGGTGTCAATTCAATCAATTCAAGCACTGCAAATTTGCACCAGATATGTAATAAACATGTATTTATAAAATCAGATTTGTGAAGAATTTCTCTTGACCCAATCTTCTTTTGTTCTTCACTTGTTTGAAGATAAAAATAACATTTTTACATATTTTGTCATTCAAATAAATAGTTGTAATTAATTTTCTGAAACATTTAAATTAAAAGCTATCAGGTCTTACTTATTATAAACTTACTTATTAAAAACAGCTCCAGCAAAATGACCAGCACATAACAATAAATATACCCATACTGACCCAAAGTCCAAACATTCAGAATTTTCAGTCTAAAAATAACTAAACTTTACATATATGCATACATACATAAATAAATATATAAATATTAGGGTTTGCAATCCCGGAGGTCTTTCTCAATCCCAGGATCCCGGGATCAAATTCGGGATTAAAAAACAGATATAGCATCTATATAGTATTAAGTAGAATAAAAACAGTACACTCTTAAGCAAAAATATATTTTATAAACTATGCTGTTTGCATTACATCATTACATGCACAGAAGAAAAATATGTTTATTAATGTTGAGAAATTTCATTAAAAATAAGGAAATATATCATGTTTCATGTGCTTTGAAATGTGACTTCAGGAAGCACAATGCGTCCAATGTTTTATCGCCCAACCTGTTACAGATTTTATTATTAAACAGTCCAGCAGAAGAAAATGCCCGCTCAGCCTTGACACTTGTTGGTTTTACCGTCATTAGAAATGAATAAATTCTTTCTAAATAATCACCACATGTACCACCATTTTCAAATAATGTCATTTTTTTTTGAATTTTTGATAACAGTGTTTCATGCCTAACTGGTTGCATTGGTGTTTTCCCTTCTTTAACTACACGATCAAGATCCTTTTCAATACTTGAAAAAGTGTTATTTTCAGTTTCAGGTTCTTCAATAAAATCCAGCATATCAGACTCAACTGATGCTCTTACTAAAGCAGGGTTGGAAGCATTTAATCTTTCCAGCAATTCTACCAACAGTTTTTGACATTTATATGAAGAAGGCACTGTAATTATTTTTTGATCGACTTCAACAGAGCTTCGACTGTATGTAGGTATTGCAGAAGTCTACTCATATCAGTTCAGCGTTTATGTATACGAGCCATTAAAGCTGTACGCATTTCCTTGCTTGTGTTATTGTCAGCACCTTTTAATTTTGTAAGCATAAAATTAATAGCAATGTCAGCTGTAAATAGACTAGAATCTCGGCGACAAAGTGCTTCAACTGTTGCTTTAATAGGAACTAAAGTTGTAATAATGTCTGATAATATTGTCAAATCAACATGCATGAGCTATAGAATTATCTGCACTGCGTAGATATCAATTAATGATTTTTGTAAACAATTTTTTACTTGATAAAATCTTTTAAGCATTAACAGAAGGCTGCTCCACCTTGTTTTGCGATCCTTAATTAAAGACAGTTGTTTTCCAAATTCAGCCTTAATATATTTTTATAAGATGTTGTTCTTGGTAGGTGATCGTCTAAATATTATTATCAACTTGCGTACTTTTTTAATTACTGGTCCATAATGAACTTCATTTAGTTCAATTTTAGATCTTAAAGTTTCATGATTGTAGCCTAGTAAATATCCTCATTTTCGGATGAATCACTGTCAAAAAATTCATTTTCAAATTCTGGTTGATTTGCATCGAATTCTCTTTTTTTATAAAGAACATCAATTACAGCAAGTTGAATGCCGTGGGCAAAACATAATTGTTGATTTGCAATCAGCAACCTTCAAACTTTTTTCATAACACTAGCTCTGTCGGTCATTATAGCCACAAGGTCGTCGTGTAGATCAAGACAATGGTCTTTAAGTTTTTTTTCTAATAGTTCAATGTACTTTTCTGCTGGCATTGATCCTGTTATTCACACTAAACCCAAACTCCAAAACTGAGAATTTTTTCCATGAACGTTAATATTCATTTAGAGAAGATTTCGAAGTGACGTCCATTAGTCAAAAGACAATGAAAAATTCTCTCCTACTCCGAATTCTGTACTCTTGAGCGCTTTAATTTGCTGAAGTAAACGTAATCTTACTTTTTTGCTGTACTCTACTACACGATTACAAACTGTGTTTACTGACGTTGGTAGATTTCTGAATCCCATAGGAGTTAGAGCGGCACGTAAATCTATTGAAGAATAAATCACATTAAATGAAAGTCCGTTAGACGCCGTTATACAAGCAAGTGCAGCGTGAAGTATTTTATCTTCTTTCTCAAAAATCAAAAAGTATTCTGTTAGTGGTTTAGATTTCTTTTTTGGTGGTTTATCTGATGTGCTTTCTCCGGTTATTTTAGGTTGGGTTGGACTTTCGACCTTACACATTATGCACCAACAACATGTGTATATGAAGTCCTTTTGTTGAACCACCACAGATCTTCTTGCAGTTTGACAATTTACACACCACCGTTTTCCCTTTCTCTTCTTGTAGAAAATATTTCCAAACAGCTGAGTTACTTTTAATTGTAAAATCCACATTCACCATGCTTATTTAAGTTTTAATTTTAAGAGTAAACCTTGTAAGAACTGCGCATTTTTTTTTCAGTTTAAAAAAGTTTATTTTGCAGAATTACAGAAAAGAATAACTGAAAATAGAATTACTATCGGCAATATTATATTAAATAAAAATTATTATATTGATGCGCATGAATTGCTGTTATTTCTATTTGGTGTACTTTTGATACTTAAGCGCTGACATTAAGGTTTCAAACTTTTAGAAAAGTATGAAAAAGAAGAATACTGAAGAAAATAAATAATCATATCAATTTTTAAAATAATACCAAGTACTGTACATCTATGCTCAAATTAGAGCTTTCTTAGTAATGTTAAAACCAAGTTTTTTTTTGTTTTTTTGTTTATCTTCACTCCCAATAAGGCTGCAAGCAAACACTACTTTTGGAAGTTACTGGAAGAAAAAAGATGAAGTTTATAAAGCAAGATAAGGATTAACAGACGACTAAAAAGATTGCAAATTGTATGAATCAAGAAAACAAGATGAAGAAAGCGAATTCCAAAAAAAAAAAAAAAAAACTAGAATAAAAAGATTTTTTGGAGCACTTAGTCACAGTCACTTAGTGACAACAGGATAAAATTTAATTGAATGACAAGTAACACGAGAATGAATTTTAGTTGATGGCATAAGAGATGCTAGATCTTTAGAGCAGTGCTCAATATAGTATTTATAAAAAATAGAAAGAGAAGAAACATTACAACGATGTGACAATGGTTAAAGGTTGGCTTTACTATGCATTTTTGCACCTTGTCTAAAAGAAAAAGGACATCATTCGAAGATCAGCTCCAGATATGGCAACAGTATTCCATACAAGAATGGACTTAAGATTCATAGAGATAAAAAACAGAACCCAGAGTAAAAATGTGGCTAGCACAAATTTTGAAATTGATTTGATATATGGTTTCCAAAATTTGAAGTAAGTGTTAATCCTAGAAGACAAAGGGTAGACAAAATCAAATTTTTCAAATATATAGAATCTAGGTTGTTGCGATGATGAATAACAAAAAAAAATTTATCTGAATAAAAGTTCACCAGCCACAAAGAACCCCATGCTGTAACAGAAGTGAGATCCTTTTCAAGCTCAAATGTCTCCTCCAAGAGAGTATTAGCTTCTAATCAAGACAAGAATAAATAGTAATACCATCAGCGGACAATGCCACCAGTGAGAATTTATGGAAGATCGTTAATGTAAATTAGAAAAAGTATAGAGCCAAGGATCGAACTTTGAGGAACTTCTGAAGTTACAGGAAAAGAAGAAGAGTGCTGTCCATCGAGAAAAACTTTAATACTACAATTAGTAAGAAAAGGATTTAATAATCATTAAGATGTTACCTGATGCATGCCAAACTTTATCAAAGGCTTTAGAAATGTCAAGAACGATAGTCTTAACCACTTCGCATCTATCTAATGCACAATAAAACCTATCGGTTATTATCATTAACAAATCAGCAGTAGAATGAGAAGATTGAAACCCATATTGATGATCAGAAAATAAATTATTTGATTCAAGATTAGGAGTTTGTTAATTAAAGATTCAAAAACCTTGTTTATGATAAGAAGTAGACTAATTGGACGTAAGTTAGACCAGTCAGATTAGTCTCCAGAATTTTTAAAAATAGGAATAACAAATGATGCTTTCCAGCAAGCTGGAAAACAAGACTTAGATAAACACTTGTTAAATAGTTTTGAAAGTATAGGCGACAGCTCTGGAGAACACTTCTGCAAGATTATAACAGGTATGTTGTCTGGATCACTGTAGAAAAGACTAAGCAGGTAATCACTTTAGATACAGAAGCTGGAGTGATACAAATGTCAAGCAATGGATCGACCTGTTTTTCAGCTATATCAAGTACGATGTGATTAGTGGAATCAAGAAATAAGATTGATGAAAGTCTTTTTTTACCAATATTAAAATTAAAAGTTAGCAATTATAATTTGAAAAAATTTAACTGTTTTATAAAACGTTTAAAATTAACAATCATGCCTAGAAAATTATGTTTTTAAAAAAGTTACTATTCATACCTGAATTATCAGATTTTTGTAAATTGAAAATAAAATTTTTTGTTCTGTAACATAGAATGTCTTTAAAGGGTGATTTGAAAAAAAATTTCCTCTATTTCTTGGCTGGAACTCTATATTTTCAGTTAATTTTTCACATGATGGAGGATTATCATCTGATTCTGATTCAGAATTAGAACTTTCGTCTATAATTAAAATAAAAATAATCTAAAATAAGTTGCTCTTAAGGATGAAGATCTTATGTATAACTTAATATGCAACTTAAGATCTTATTTATATCTCAAAAAGCAACTAAAGATGTATAAATATATGTGTGTGTATGTGTAAATATATACTAGTAAAAGAGGACCTGTAAAACAGGTCATTAGAGATAGGTATTTCAAATATAATAACTCTATCTGTTTGACCTTTTATATAACCATTTCCTGTATTGACAAAGAAAAAGAGCAATGTATCCATAGAATAAACAAAGTAATCTACAATTTCCATTTTAAGTAAAATATGATAAAAATAGAAAAACTTTTTACTTTAATTCTGAACAAATTAATTTTAAATTTTAATTCACTCCCAACAAGGCTGCAAACAACTACTATTAAGTTGGGAGTTATCAAAAGGAAAAAAAATAGAGAAAGAGCCTGGAAATGATTGACGGAAGACTTAAAAAGTTGTATGAGTCAGGAACACATAAAGATAGGAAAAAGATCCCAAGGGTTAAAGTGAAAAAAACTAGACAAATAAAAGTTTTTAGAGCATACAAAGAAGACATAGTAAAAGAATGAAACTTTGCTGAATAATGAGTCAAGCGAGAATGAATTTGATTGATGGAACTAGAGATAATAGCAAAACATGACAATAGTATTCCATACAGGGGCGAATAAGAGATTTAAAGAGGTAGAGGACAAAACTGAAAACTGCCGTAAGATAATGACAAGCAAGATAAAGAGAGCAGCATTACCAGATGCTAATTGAGCAATCAATTGTATATATGGTTTCCATAAGAGGTTAGTAGTGAACGATAACCCAAGAAGTAATGTTAAACCCCAGAAGTTACTGTTAATGAAAAAGAAGGTTGGCCATCAAGGATATTATTCATAGAGTGGTTAGAAAGAAATGATTTGATAATCTCAAAAACTTTCCTGGATACATCATATGAAGCAAGCTTATGGAAAAGACCAGCATGCTAAACTTTTGCAGAAAACTTACTTTTGTTAATGACACTGTTGAAGATTTTTCGTCTCTATTGCCATCTGAGATATGATACGAGATTTAGTGAACCAAAAATAATGGAATCCCAGTCAGCTTTAGGGAAGCAGTAAGTAGTGCAATGATTAATCACTTACTCAGTTAGTCAGATAGTTAAATTTGTGACTTGTTTTACAAACAACCCTAATCACTTACCATCACTCCTTGACTTTGTTCGGTGAGTCCGAAAAAGAAGTATGAGATGAAAGACTTATATAGATCATTGCATGGTTGGAACCACCTAAGAGAGAAAAAGGAGAACAAAGTCAAGGAGTGATGGTAAGTGATTAGGGTTGTTTGTAAAACAAGTCACAAATTTAACTAACTGAGTAACTGAGTAATCTGACTAACTGAGTAAGTGATTTAGAAATGCAAAAGTTATAGACTTCAGGGCCAACTGGGTGAGTGGTATTAGAGCTGAGCCATTTATTTTGATGAGTACTAAAGTCAACAATAACAACAATATTGGCAGAGGGGTAAAGAGAAAGGGCATGGTCGATTCTATCAGAAATTACATCAAAAGGAGTGCAGTCTTGAGAAAAAGGAGAACAATAAAGAACAAAGAGAAGGCGATTGAGTGAAGAATAAATGGAAGCACAAAAAAGAATGGTCAAAATATTTAAAACTGATTTTTTAACAATAGGTGAATTGATTAGTAAGTATACCCCAAGCCAAGCATGACTATTGGAGTTTTTGCGAATTAACAAAGCAACAACCAAATTTAAATTAGTTTCACTAAGCAAGTTTGGTGAATTTTGCAAAAGTTAAGATTCAACTGATGGAAGGTTACTTCGACATACACAAATATTTGTGAAAGATATATTGAAACAGTTAGCTTGTTAGGATGGTTTTTTATATTTAATATTATATTGTTATTTCTGAAAAAAATACTTTTGAAAAATTATACAATTTATGGCATTGTGGTTTATCTTCCAGCTATTTTATAAATGGAAGCCATATACCAAGATCCGTAGAAAAAAAGTTCACTAAGGAACGTTATTAACTGCCCCGATGGTCAAGAGCAATTAAGTTTTGAGAAGAATTGAAATAAGGTAAAAGTAAGAATTAGTTGTGTTAGAAAGATAGCATTGAGAAATGCAGACAGAAAGGTTGTTTAAGAAACAGAACAACTAAGAAAACTTGATCTTCCATTATGGATTCAGAAGTTTCAGTGCATTTTTACTGTAAAAATTATATAATTTGTAATATTATATAATTTGTAATAAATAAAAAATATTATTTGCATTTAATTTAAAAAAACATTATTTGAGTTGTACAATTTATTATTTAATTTCAATTTATTTAATATTTTTATTGAGTGATGTATATTTCAAAGAAATTTAAAACATAGTTTTTTTAATTGTTGTGTTGTTTTTCTAGAAAAATTATACATATAGAAAAATTATACATATTAGAACCAAAAGCAACTAAAATATAATAATTTTGTTTAAAAATTGAAACTTTTTTACTAGTGTTTTTTTTTTTTTTAAGAAATGAAAACCACAAAAAGACTGGTTTCAAATAATATTGTTATCAATTATACAAAAGTGCAAAATAGTTGTGCTTATTTAGAGTACCTACTTAAGTGTTAATTACAATTGTTTATAAAATGGTTCATTTTTTAAATACATTGCTCTCAGTGTTATCATCCTAACATTTTAAATTCACTGATTAATAAAAAAAAAAATTAAAATCTTGCATTAAAAACCCCTTTTTTTCCTTATATTAGACATATTACATACACAATCCTTACATATACAATCCACTAACTCAACTGATGCTTACACTTATAAACATTTTACATAATGTTATATAAATGGAATTTTTACATTTGCATAATTTTAAAATAGATATTGTTATTAATTTACGTAAGTTACATATTTAAATATCTGTATATAAATTTCTTACATGGAACTCGGATGTACATTATGTCATTTTATTTAAGTAGGAAAGTTTAAATGTTATTGAACTCATTATGTATTATGTAATTAAGTTTTACACAATAAGGAGCAAATTTTATACTCCTATACAATCTTTTATAAGTATAAAGCAGCATCAAGTTGGCATGTTGTAACTCCAAGATCCAGATTATTGCAAAAAACAAAATAAAAATCTGTTTGAAAATATATATTTAGCATTGCAACTAAATTTGAGGACAAATTTATGTAAACAAGATCTAGATTGGCTAATCATCAGTTTAAAAGTGTGAAAGCATTTTTTTACGTATACACAAGGAACATTTTTTATTAAGTACTTTTCATCAGATAAAGATTAAACTTTTTGTGGATGTATGATTGAGATCTTCTAACTATGTTCCACATCATAATGTTTCATGATTTTTTTAGAATGTATATTATTACTTTAAATGAAACTTGAATGAATGTATTATTGTTATAAATGTTATTTTTTCATTAAAAACTAAGAAACATAAAAAAAGCTATTTTTTTGTGTTTCTTAGTTTTTTTTCTCAAACACAAAAATTTTGGGTTTGAGCAGGTTTTTAATCACATTTATCACAGCAAAAAAAAAACTTTTTCATTATTCTTTTAAAATTGGAAAAAATTGAAACTTTTTTAAAATTACTAATTTTTTTATTATTTGATAGACTGCCTGCTCAAACCAAACACTCAGTTGATGTAGCGGCACTTCGTTGCAAGTCAGGTTATAAGATAGTCAATGAAGCAGCACTCCATTGTAGCAGCAGACTATAAGATTGTCAATGTAGCAACACTCTGCGCATTTTTTACTGTAAAAAAATAAAAATATTTTACTGTAAAAAAATATTTTACTGTAAAAAAATATTTTACTGTAAAAAAATAAAAATTTTTTACTGTAAAAAAATAAAAATATTTAGAATATTTTTATTTTTAAAAAACAAAATAAAAACTTTCATTTAAAATGTGTTTAAAAAAATAAAAATATTTAGAATATTTTTATTTTTAAAAAACAAAATAAAAACTTTCATTCAAAATGTGTTTAAAAAAATTCAAAATGCTTTTAAAAACATTGCAGTCTTTTTGAATTTAATTAGTTCCCACAGTTAAATTTATGTGTTTTGTTATGTGTCTAACCTTAATTTTGTCAGTTTAAAAACCACAGACAATTGAAGAGCTATTTTTTACCACAACATATATATATAAGCCCTTTACTATAGGTGTGGATATGATCTTTAAGAACAGAGCTATAATAAATTAGTAAAAGATGAAATGTAGAAGATAAAATGTAGAATGTTTTTACTAATATATATATATATATATATATATATATATATATATATATATATATATATATATATATATATATATATATATATATATATATATATAATATATATATATATTATACTAATATATGTAAATATATAATATATATATAAATATATATATATATATATATATATATATATATATATATATATATATATATATATATATATATATATATATTTAAGAACATCTTTAAGAAAAAAATTATTAAAAAAATCTTTTTATAATACCTTAACATAGTTATAAAGTTGTAAGGGTTATATACACATTTTTTAACGTTTATATACAGCCCTGTTGTGAAGCGTTGAAAAAGGTTTCAGTGATATGTTTTTAAATAACTATTACTTCTAAGTTTGAATTAAAAGATGAATTAAATATTATTCATAATATTTTTTTATAAAAACACACACTAACTAGGTCTATAAGAAGAATATATTTATGAAAACAATAGGTTATGACTGTCACGAAAAAAAGTCAAAAAGTTTTTTCTATGCTTTGTATCAAACTTTTTAAAACTACAACTATGGTAAAAGTAAAGATAATAATACAAATTTTATCATTGTTTCAATTTTTTTTTTTAAAGTGCTTTAGATCACCTTTTCAAGACGTTATTAAGAATGTTACGACCATCACAACATGTTTGTTTTTCCAAAATGGTTTCTTGACTTTATATAAAG